CCCAGGAACATCTCCGCCTGGGGAGGGGGGGCTGCGTCTCCCAGCCCCGTCCTCAGAGCCCAGGGGAGGGGGCTGAGCCCCACGGATCCTTCCAGCCAGAGCGAGCTCAAGCGTTCAGCCAGGCCGGGGCCGGGCTTCACCTGCGGGCGGCGAAGAGCCCCCGATACCGTCAGCGAGCAACCACGGCACCAGCTCCGGGGCGGCCGCTCTGACGTGCTCTTAGCTACCCCGTCAAGCCAGGCGCCCGCTGGCCACGCAGCCCTCAAAACTCGGGGAGGGGAATCTCGCCTTGCACGTGACTAGCACTCTGCTGCCAATAGTTTGACCAGCAAACTCTCCTGCTGGAGATGCAGCTTCCACCAGCAAGACCGTGCATGTGCCCGTCCCGTTGCCCCGTGGGAAGAGCTGCGGGAGGGGGGAGGTCGCCCGCGTGTCCGCGCCACCCAACCCACCTCCTGTTCTCTTCTTTGACCCTCCCCTGCAGGCTGACGCCCTCCGCCAACCACCTGGCTGAGCCAGCCTGGGTCTCCACGGCCATCCTGGCTGGATCCCTGGTCGCCGGCACCAGCTTCTTTCTGGAGTCGTACGAGCAGCAGGCGGGAGACGACGACTGAGGGACCCTCCGCTTCCCGCCAATAAAGCACCTTGGCCAGCTCCGTGGCTCCCCCCGCCCGGCAACAGCACGCGGAACGGCTCCTGGGCGCCACCCGAGACAGCGGGCCGGGTTCTTAGCCATCGGGGGCCGCTGCAGGCGGGGGGGGAGGGGGCAGGGAGCCACTGCCAGGGTGAAGGGGGGACCCCGGCCTGGGGAAGGGCCGTGCAGAGGCCCTAGCTCGGGTAGGTGGACATGCAGCCCCTGGGGACTCAGGGCGGTGCAGGGAGCAGCAGGGGAGGGTCTCCCGGTGCCTGCAGGCAGAGCTGCGGCGGAATCGGCCTGGCTCCGAATGCCCCAGGAGGCGTCTGGGGAAAGGGGTGGCATGCCAGGAGCGCGGAGCACAGAGCAAGCCCAGAG